TGAAGTACAATACCAGGTGAACCTGAGACATATCTAACTTTGTAATTAAATCTTAGGCGTATGTAAATGTAAGATTAAGAAACCTAATCGAACGTCTCGCGTTCCGGGATATTATGTACAGAGTATTTGAATCTTTCTTGTGATATAATCGTAATATTACTAAGATATAAACCGATAACAAGGCAAGAAAAGGAGGAAGAAGGAAAAAAAAAAAGAGAAGGAGAATACGTAAAATTACTATTATCATTCCATGTTTTTTCATAGAGGCGAAATAACTAGCGTGAACGTGGAGGGCGTCGAACACCGCTCCGTTTTCTTTGTTTAGAGAAGAGACGGATCTTCGATTTTTGTCTCGAGGAAGCTCGCGCCGGCACCGAATAGTAGACATCGGATTTTTTATTTATGCGTCGACGAATTTCATTTTAAACGATAAATGGTAACATTCTCCCCTTACGACGTTGCGTATGCTTTAATCGCAGTTTAATTCTTAGTCCGAAAATCAGAGAAAAAGTGGGAAAGGAAGAAACAAAAGAATAGGGAACATCTTCCCTCGAGTTTCGAGACCAACGCCGTGAGTTTAGTTAGGGCAATGAAAAAAACGAAAAAAAAAAAAAAAAAAAAAAAAAAAAAAAAAGAGACAAAAGGAGAAAAGTTGTAAAATCCTTGGACCCCGTTATTTTCATTCACAAACTACTTAGGCGGCTCGTTAGACTTAAGATCCCGTAAATTAATACTTATTTATAATTCTTAGAGCGGTCGTAGAAAGACGTTTTTCTACCAGAATTTCTGTGCCAACTGCAAAGAATGTTGTAGACCATTTTTGTTCCAAGTTGAAGCATCATTCTAATCTTGTAAGATACTCAGATATATCTTTATTAAATATATTTGAATTTCGTAGTATATTATATTCTGATATTGATTATACAGTTCATTTTTGTATATTGGTGTGTGATAAATAAATAAGAATATTGTTTCTAAGCAATTTACATACTCATGTTCAGTATGATGTCCTATTTAATCGTTTCAAGCGGGTTTTGACGATTGGGCGCTTTGAGTTCAGTGTTTACGCTCATAAATTCTCAACTTTGGAAAACGAAATTATCAAAACTATTTGAACGACGGAAGTCCATTCGACCGTTGTAAAACCGGTATAAAATAAAACAGCTGAGCTCAAAGCATTTAAAATATGAAAAGTATCCAAAAGTTTCCGTTTCGCAGTAATTTATTTCAATTGAAAATTAACATGAGAATACGAAATTTTCAGTATACAATATGTATTTTTATAGTAATCTTGAAACATGAATTTCAAATTCAAATAGTACGTACCTATTAACAGTTGAAGAGAGAGAGAACGCGCAAGATAAATTGCGTTACTTTCACTTGGCCAATCGTCTTGACACACGATGGGAAATGGTACCTTATTTGAACGTAGTCTTCACACGCTTCTATATTACGTTTAAATATTAATTAAAAATGTTTACACGGGAAAAAAGGACGATTAACTTCGTACGCACCGCGTTCACGGACGCCATTTTGATAATCAACTGCACATGCGCCATCTACTGGAGAAAATTGTAACTTCTGCCCGCTGCGCGGACTATTCAAATATACACTAAGAAAATAACCACACTTGTTACTTTTACTACTCTTACAAAATAAAAATTAAATATTCACTAGGTCCTTACTTTCGATCTATTTATTTTCAATATACACTTGTACCGACTATAAGATCGTAAAGTTGAATTTATATTCCTAAAATATTATAGAAATAAATTTGACAATCGGTTTTTACCTTATGTTACACACCTTTTACCTTATAGCTTGACCGGTTTAAATGACTTAAATGGCTTATATTAAGTTAATTGAATATCACTGTATAGATTTTAAATCAGACTTGACAAAAAGCAAAAAATCACATTTATTGACACCAATTAGATCTAATTGAATTGGAAGATCTAATGAAATTGCTACAACCAGTTCGTAAACTATTTTATGTATCATTAATTGTCTTTAATTCTAACTTGCTAACAATTTACGATACCACGAAAGTACACCGAATAAATGCTGTTTCAAAATTTTGTCTACTATGTAGAAAGGATCACGAACTTTGACATTAAATTTTAAAGATATTTAAAATACATATTTCAATATTCACCATACCGGCCATACTGCTTAACAATGAAATATCATTTCTTCGATTGATGTAATGTGGTGCATAGTTTGTATACTCCATTGCCTGAAAGAAAGTCTTACTATCTCATAGATTTTAGCATGAAACTAACAAACAAAGCAAATTATGCATGCCAATAAAAAATTTGATGCTTTTACTACTGACTAAGTTTCTTTTATAAAATTACTTTCTCTATTGCTTTATTAAATTACCAACAAAAAATTCATCATACAAAAAAAGTGAAAACTCATCCAAGTGTCTTGAGATAATACTATGCTAGCAAATAAAATAAATAGCTATATTGTTTGTGAAGATAAATATGAATTGTACCTTTTCTATTACGATATACGATACTTTTAAAACTAATTCTAATATAATGTATTATTTCACAATTATGAAACTATACTCACGTAATTTCAAGGCACTTCAAACTCCGCTGAACAGAGAAACAGAAGGAGATTAAAACATTTCAACCCATGAAAACGTGTTCCCACGCAACCTTCGGTATTCTTCTATACACCTAAGAGGGATACATGAAAAGATATGTTAGAAGTAAATGCTTTAAGTACTTCATAACGAAACTTCAATCAGCTTAAATTATAAAAATATGTATAACAATAGATTGACACTACTATTTTGTATTTCACATAAGTTTATTGCTAATAAAAGTTTAAATAATATGCCAGATCAATCCAATTTAATACAATTTAAACACGTAATCGTTTGGTGTTAGTGGATATAACAAATATTTTTTTTTTAATTTTGCACTTGCTTATATTAACGTAATTGAAATATACTTAAACATTTAAGGAAGATTAAGTTTATTTATATGCTTTTGACAAAATTTCTTAATATTACTTAACATTTCATGAGTAATTTAAAACGAATATATTAAATGAAAATTACTAATATATTGATGACTTTTTTTTTGCGGATCTCTGAAGATATTAATGTTACTAATTAGATATCCTAGAAATATTTCGTTATTTTCATCCAAGTTATAATGCTATTAATTAAGATTTTGATTTAGAGCTTTCCAAATGTAGCTTATTATATAACGCCATTATATTTCTTATTTATTTCAGTTTACGAGAATTACATATAGATATGTATAGCAGAAATAATTGCTTTAAAAACGGGAAAACTGTTTGTAAGTTACGCAAAAATTATTTTTATTTTTTTTTCCTTTTTTTTTTTTTTTT